TGAAGGTATGTCCTTTATGTTTTAAAAACATAAAGCTATTACACATTTAATAGACTACAGGATAGGGAAACATCCCTTTTATATGCACTGGGAAACCAAAAATTCACATGACTTGCTTTACTGCGATGGTCAGAAGCTGAACCTGCATCATCTCCCAGATATGCCTGTATTTTATAAAATGAAGATAATAATAGTTCCTACCTCGTAGGACTGTTCAGAGGATTGAGCTAATACATTCAGAGCTCTCAAGCCATTCCCTGGCACGTGGGCCCTGGTCACGTAGGTGAGCTAGATGGCAGCAATGAGTTCTGGATGGGAACTTGGAAACTAGGGTTCTAATCAGGTGACCAGCTTGTCCTGACTCGCCCAGAAGGTTCCTTGCATTAGTGCTGGAAGTCATGTGACCTGGGCCACCCCGCAGATCTGGGCACATCTAGCTGGTTGGTCACCTTAGGTCTACTGCCAGCTTCTAACTAGCCGTGTGACTTTGAGGCTGCCTTATCCCTTGTCTGGATCTATAAAATGAGGAGTTTAGACCAGATGGGTGGTTCTCAAACTTTATCATGAGTGAAAGTCTCCTGTTGTTAACACATGGACTGCTGGGCCCCACCCCAGAGTTTCTGATCCAGCAGGTCTGGGATGGGGCCCAACCCCCTGCACTAGATGGCCACACAGAGGTCTGGTGTCTTCTACCAGTCAGTGACTCTGGGACTCCTTCCTGTGACCTGCTCTTTATGGGAAAAAGAGGTTCATGGGCTGAAAACCATTCGTTCCTTCAGTCATTCATTCAGCACTATTTCTTGAAGGCCTGCTGTCTATCGGATACTGTTCTCGAGGCCAAGTCTCTAGCAGCCCACAGATTCTGAAGATTGTGATGCCAAGGACTCGGCTCGCTGAGGCTTTGAACCCTGCGCTGCCCTGCCCCTCCCCGATGTCACGCACAGTGAAGGCTCTTGCGATGCATAGTGTGGATACCGCTGCTGGCGGGGCTGGGGGGTGGGGTGAGCTAGTCTGTGCCCAAGAGATACAGTCCCTGCCCCTTACCCTTACCGAACCCCACACCCAAACTCCCTATCTCACCCAAAGTGTCAACTCTATGGCCAGGACTCCATTTTTTGAGATTCATCCATTGGTCTCTTAGGAAGAATAAGGAAAACACTTCGAAGCCTTACCTGATTTTTTTTCAGGAAGAATGTAACAGGACTTCAGAGATGTCATCCTTTTGGTTATTTTGCTGCTGGCCACATGGGAGAGCCTACCTTTTATAAAGAAGCAGATGCTCTGCATTTCTCTCATACCTGTTTCCGAGCCAGGAGGAAGGGAGCTCATCTGGTAGGATATTTATCACCCAAGAAGTTTTGTTCAACCGCATCAGCCGGTTGGTGTGTTGCATTCAATCAAGGGCCCTGACAGACATGCCAGGAAGGTCAACTGATAACACTAATTTTTCTGGCACTCCTAATGACAGGTTTATTTGATGAGAATCTATACCCCGCCCCCAAATCTACTCATGTTTTATGGCATGTCCCCCTAGCCCCATTTGCTGCTTCACATATCTATGGCTGCATAACAAATCACCCCAAAATTCATGGCTTAGCACAAGGTCTATTTTTATTGGTTCCCAATTTGTGGGTCAGGACTTTGGGCAGGGGTCAGTAGGGTGGCTTTTCTCCGTTCATGAGGTGCTTGCATGCATGCCAGCACTATCACAATGTCACTTGCACCAGTTCTGTTGGTCAAAGCAAGTCACAGAGCATCCCAGTTCAAGGAGGGAGGGGACACATACCCCACGTCTTGATGGAAGAAAGTATTGGTGGCTGGCCGTCTTTGCAGGAGATGTCATCTATATACTTGCTTTCTCTGCATCTTAGTTAATATACTTCAAATAAGCAAAAGCAGTGTTTTTGCAGGGGTGAGGGTGAGGGGGGCTGGTGACAAGATAAAGTCTTTTCTTTGATTTATATCATCTAAGTTCAAGAAGAGTGTCAGAACTCCCTCAGGGAAATAAGGATATTTAAATGATTACCTAAAGAATGTAGCTCATGGATCAGAGTGCCTGTGAAAAGCGTATAATATGTGTCTGGCTATACGTTGATGATAAATTCGAAACGTGTCAAAAAGCCAACTGTCCTTTTGGAAACAAATACAACAGGCCATAAAATTCTCAACTACTTCTTATTAGCCTGAATGCATCTCAAAGAAAAAGAGAGTCGAATGGCAAGAGAGGGTTTGACCAAATCTCATGGGCAGCAGATGTTTTGAATGCTAATGCTCCTCAGTTAAGGGGCAATAATGCCAACCACATGCTTGCCTATATTTTTGAAATTATTTTATTAAGGGCCTGTGAAAGTATGGAAAATGTAAACACAGACACACAAGGACATAAAAATGCTCAGAGCACACAGAGAATGGTGTATCCTGACAGCAGTGATGGGAAAGACAGTCACAGGAGGCGTGTATATGGGGTACATACGGTGACCTGGTGCTTCTTAATCGTTAAATGTGCAAACGAATTGCCAGTGGACCTTGTTTAAAAGCAGACCCTGATCCAGTGGGTCCAGGGTGGGAGCTGAAATGTGCGTATCTGACATTCTTCCAGTGCTGCTGGTGCGTGGAATTGAGGGGCAAGCTTGTATAAGATGGGGGGCAAGGAGGGTCTGTGGTATGTTTCCTTCCTCACGAGCAGGCAAGGGTCAGGCAGCAAGTGTTGCCTCTGTGCCTACCCTGATGCTTGAAACTGTGCTAGACAACCGGACTCCCCCGATGGGCTAAGACTCGGGCTCTGAACCTAGTGAGCTGCCATGTAGAAGGAGTGATGGACACAAAAAGTCATTCCAAAGGAGAGTGCTGAGAGAGTGGCAGCTTCACTATTTTTTGTTTGTTTGGGGTTTGTTTTTTGGGGGGGTGTGGTAACTAGATTTATTTATTTTTAATGGAGATACTGGGGATTGAACCAAGGACCTCATGCATGCTAAGCACACAAGGAGTTCTACCACTGAGCTGTAACCCTCCCTGCTTGGGTTCACTGTTAATTTGCATGGGCTTTGGGTACTTGAACCCCTGGCTAGGATATGGCTTAGGTAAGATTGACTAGAGTCTTAGTATCTTCATTGATAAAATGATCTTTACAGTGCCTACCACATTGAACTCTCATGTGACTTCAGTGAAATTAATCCATAAGGGGAAATAACGCCTAGCGCATAGTGAGTGCTCAGTAATTATTAACCTTTACTACTGTATAAGTGCTGCAATGTATGGTTGGAAACAAAGGCCAATATATTTATCTTAAAATTATTTTGCTTGTTAATCATAGAGGAAATTCAAGAAACCTCTTAGCTACTATGGAAAGGAAAGGAAATGATGTCTATTCTCACAAGATCCCTGGGGAGCAAGCATCATGACACGTCTCCTTAGACGTTTATTGACTATAAAGTGTGTGTGTTGATGGTTGAGATGGAACTTTGATTTAAGGCTATATTTATTCTTGACCTGCTAGGACCCTGACACATCATTCAGCCTCTGCTTTCTCATCTGCAAAGTGGGAGCAATAACAACTGTCATATTCAAAGTTTATGAGGCTCAAATGTCATAATGGATCTTTGGTGTCCTCAGAGCTGGCTTGACATCTTGGCCTTGTCATGTATTAGCTTGCGTGGCCTTGAGCATTTTTCTTAACATCTACCTCATTGAAAAAAGTTTATAAAACACTCCTCCATATGACAGACACAGAGTAAGTGCTCTGTAAATGACAGCTGTTGTTATGATGTGACACTGCTTTGAAAATATAAGGTATATGACTTCATGAAGATTACTACTGTAAATTAGGATAAATATGCTGTTCTCTGTAAATGTTGAGGTGTTGCTTCTGAGTGGCTGTCAGTATAGCGTAAACTTTGATTTCCCACTCCTCCTGCCCTCCTACTCCTCTTTCACGTGTGGCTCCAAGTGATAGTTGGAAAGGTGGCAGGTTGAGGGGAGAGGTACAGTCTCTGGTGATGATATAAATGGCCCTACCCTTCATCACTGGAGCCAAGAGGTTGCCTCTTACACTGAGCATCACTCCAGAATCTCAGAATTTTGAAATGCTCCTAGTTTTCCTAAAACTTGTCTTTATCCTTTCAGTGAACCAGTTAAAAGTGCAAATTCACAACGCAAGGACAAGTATGCAGGTTCTGGTTTGTGTTGGAGGGTGGACTCAAGTGGTCTGGTGGCCCCTGGTTGACGCTGCTCTATAGAAGCGGGCAGGGATGCGTCCAGGGACATCGGTGGAGATGCAGCAACTGCAGTTTGGCACTGTTTGGGCACTAACCAATATTCCGGTCGCCAGAGATCGCACAACGAAACACACCTCTCCCTACTTCCACCAAGGGAAAACGCTGGGGTGGGAGAGAGAGAAATGTCAAAATTGTGTCTTCTTACATTCCGCTTCCTCTTTTACCTCCTCCACCCATCCATCTCGTTGACAAGATTATTGCAAGAAAGGAGTTAATGAGTACACAGCTTTATTTTCCTTGGAAGAGAGATACAAAACAGGCTCAAAGCAGGGCTGTCATCGCTCTGCAAGTCTTCAAGGGGTTTATAGGTAATTATTAACCCTTTGTGGCATGCCCCGGGTAGGGGGGAATCCTCTATGCTGAAAGCACCTAAGATTTTCCATCTACAGTACGTATATGGACTCAAATTCTTTTAGAGTTAAAATTCAGTAATACTTTAAAAACAAGCCTCTGTTGTATGTAGCCCTAAACAGCTGAGATACCCCCCGAAGTCCTACGTCACCATGGATCCCTCCTTCACTGTCTTTAGTACTCAAGTCGGAAGTACCATTCTCCTTGTTTTCCGTTTGAGAAAACTGAGGCTTAAAGACAGGAAATGACCGGGCAAAGGTTTCATGGGTAATAAGGCTTGGCTAGAATCCAGGTCTCCTGAATACTGCCCTGGTGCTCTTTTAATGTGCTGAACATAATGTAAAATTCCTTCTAGCAGTAAGAAAGCACATCTGAATCTCAGTGTTCTTTAAAACCACCAATTATCACCATTTAGCACTGCCATAAACCGCCACTATTTGGTCCACTGGAATTTGTATTTTTTAAAAAACCCATGTGATCAACCTGCTTTCTGGTACTTTTATCATTTGCTTCTCCCCTGCTTGGTGATTTCAGGCTATTTAGATCTTGCGTTTCTCTCTTGCAGTGGGTTTGGGATGATTAACTGCTAGAGCTCCTGTGTTTAAGAGAGCCCTGCAGGGACTTTTTTGTGGGGGATTTGATTCCATGCTGGCCCTGAAGTTTGGTCTCTAGTAGATTAAAATGAATGGGAAAATCTAAAAATCCGTGAGTGACCTCTTCAAGCAATAAGTAACTCTTTAAGATTGGGTAAATGGCAGTGGAGGAAAATGAGAACCCACAGTGCCCAAATCAACTGTCACTGGGTGCTGAAAGGACCAGTAGGTGCTCTTTGATAAGTGGGGACAGAGACTCCCTTAGAAACTTGTCCTTGCTGTTACTCAGGTCTTTGTGAGTTTAGCTTGTGGCCCCAGATGAATTCTCCCCTGAGCTCTCCAAGCCCACGCTCTCCTTTCAGTCACAAGCAGGTTGCTAGCATATGGGCAGACTTCCATACATGGTACGGGGAGCAGACATGACTTCATGCTCTGCTGTAGACGAGGGTAACTGCCAAGGCTCAGGCGCCCAGTCCCCGCAAGTGTTCCTCGGTCTTGGACTCCTTCTCTCTGGCTGCGTGGTAGCCAGACCACAGGGGCTGCTTTACATTTGCAGGCACATCCTTACCTTGCCGATTTGCAACTCCTGTCCTCCCGTCCTCCAAGAAAACATCTCACAGGTATACCCACAAACATTTGGAAAACACCTGACAATAAGTCTGCATTTTACCATACTGATAATGAAACAAACGCGAAAGATCATTTTAGGTCAGCACATTACGGGGTTCTAGGAGTTCAGTTTATTTCTGCTGCACATGCTGTTTCATTTCAGGTGGAGGTGAGGCGAGGCAGATCTGACAGTTCGTTTAAGGAAATGCTCCTGGGTATTTTGCATTAAGTAACTGTCTTGTGTTCTTTGGTCTTGAAAATTTTAAGAACTCTGGATGTAGAGGACTATATCAATTTGGGGTCCTTTAAATTCCATCCCTTCACTTGTTATTATTACTTTACCAAAAGGCATGACAACAAAAAGATGTATTTCCTCTTCTCCTGGTGGACAATGTATGTTTAATGTGGATTACAAATGAAACATAAAAAGCTGGTTGAAACCCTAGCTGGAATGGGTCAGGTACAGCCTGATAATATTTCTTGGGAATCTTATTTGGATTGATTTACAAACATATTTGAGCATTGCATTGGGCATCCCTGCTGAGATCATGCAGAGAGAGAGAGAGAAAGGAAGAAAGAATGGAAGGGAGGAAGGGGAAAAACGAGGCACCAGTATCTCATAGCATAACAAATCTGAGAGAGGAGGAGGAGGATAAAGAGGGGAAGGAGGGAATAAAAAGAAAGGAACCCAGCAACCACTTGACTACCAAGCCCAAACCCAGTTTTGGTTAAAGAGATGACTTAGGGCTGAGGAAAAGTTTAACATGTCAATTAAAACAACCCCTTACAATGTGTCAACAATGGAACAAGACTCTTAAAAATTTGTTTTTCTTTCTGGGAACATCTCCCCTTCATTTCTGTAACACAGAAGT